CACACTAGTCATGTGACTCGCTGACGCAACAATAGTTTTTGCTTTTTCAAACAGTTTAAATAGCCTTTGGAATGGGTTAAATTCAGATGTAGTAGAAGCAGTAGTTGCAAGGGATTTGAAGAAAAGGCTCGATAAATATTTAAATGAACAGGGCTGGATGTTTTTAAGGGTATGGGATAGTCTTAATGTTTCTTAAATGCTACATTATGTTATCTATTAATTTTATTTCTTTTCTAAAACATTGGTAGTCATAAAGGTAAAAAATATCAAAATATACAATTTTAAGACACTTTCTGTTCTTGAGCAGTTACAAAAGATTGATCTTAAACACTGATTTACACGACTCTGATTCTGAATCCGCATTGGACAAATTAAGAGGAATGTGAAACAGAAATTGCAATCATCGTGAATATTATTAAAAATTTTATGCCTATTGGTTTAATGAATGTTTCTTTACTGGTCCTATACGGGTTTCCAGTCCGCAGGAATTTTTCCAGGGGGGTGGGGCAAAGTAGTATGCAATTGTGATGTGAATAAAAAAAAATTCATATACATATGCTGAATAAATAAGTTGTTTGTTTGTTATTAAGCACAGAGCTACACAAAGGACTGTCTGTGCTCTGCCCACAACGGGTATCGAAAATGAATTGGACCGCTTACCTACAAAAGTTAAATGATTCAAACTGTTACACTCGTTATTACTATTTTTAAACATTAAAATTCTACATGATTTTCCTTTTAATTCCTGAAGTTTGTTATTATCAAATTCAAAGTTCAAGACTACACATAGAGTTCTTTGAGTTTGTTTGTTTTTTAAAGTTTGCGCAAAGCTGCCAGGGAGCTATCTGCGCTAACCGTCCCTAATTTAGAAGTCATAGACTAGAGCAGGGGTGGCCAACCCACAGCAGGGAGGGAGCCAGAATTTCGCAACTTACATTACTGTTGAACCACATATGCACGGAATTAAAAATGTTGATAATAATAATAAAGATAATAATATTAATAACTTAGACAAAGCCCGAGACGAAACTGAGGCTCCCAGTACTGCTGCCTCAGTGGTTCCGGACAAAACAATGCTTTTATTTTATAAAATAATATAAATATTGTTGCTTTTACCAAAATGCTCTTATTTTATATATATATAATAGAACATCAATTAAAGACAGATCAATTTTTTAACCACCATATTCGCAGTTATTGCCACTCATTATGGAAGCCTTTGAAAGTTTTCATTTAACTGACGACAAACACTACACTTGTTCTCCTGCTTACTTGGTTCTCGAAGCTCTAGTTATTGCGGTGATCAATTGAGTGTGAATTTTTCTCAAATCTTTGACTGATTGTATCTGAATATCCAACATGTTTATTGACCTGATTAGTTTATATTGGTGCTGTTAATATGTTTAACCACTAATCCTTTGACTGATTGTATTTGAATATCCAATATGTTTATTGACCTGATTAGTTTATATTGGTGCTCAGTATTATGTTTAACATATAATCCTTTGACTGACTGTATCTGAATATCCAACATGTTTACTGATCTGATTAGCTTATATTGGTGTTGTTATTACGTTTAACCTCTAATCCTTTGACTGATTGTATTGCAATATCCAACGTGTTTACTGATCTAATTAGTTTCTATTAATCATCTCGACTTGTAGCTTTGCTGATGGAATATGTGGCGTTTATCTAATTTTATACAATTTCCTTCATATCTATCTATCTATAAATTCAACGAAACTGGGATGAGCTGAAATAATAATATGCTTATCACAGTTTGGAAATGTGTTCGATCTTTTTTAGCATTAAAAGGAAAATTCTTCATTGTTTTATCAAATTATCACTAGTAGTATGTGGCAAAGATTTCAGTATTAGAACATGTTCTTGTGCTGCTATTTATTCATTTAAAAGTAGCCCTAGAGTTGGCGGTGGATACTGTTGACTAGCTGCCTTAGTCCGTCAGCTCAAAATTAGGGAAATCTGTGCACAGATAACACTTGTGTAGTTTTGTGGGAAAATTATTTAACGAACAAAAAGAGCTACCAAGATTCGTTTTGAAAACTCAGTCAACCAAATGAGATAGTACGACGACTGTAGCACTTAACGAGCCTGCCCATGATTTTCACCTCGGTCTGTAACGAGAGATTGGAATGTGGTGCCACAAGTGTAGTTCTTTTGATTGCCACAGTGCCACTGTTTATAAACTGTGATGAAATGCCGATGAAAGAAACGGTATTTGATAACGACTCCCCAGCAGACGAGCACCTCTTATCGCGTTCCTTTGAAGGCATGATAGATCTATATTTTTACCAACTGTTTTGCAGACAAACCACGATTGGACTTAATTTTTATTTTTATAGGACTCAAGCAGCGCTCTTTCACGTCACATGATCAATTTATTTTCAATATCTCAATAACTGTTGGAATTCCTAATCAAGTAGCGTATAATGTGCATCAACACTAAGAAAGAAAACGCAATACAATTTTAATCGTATATCTTGAGCACACAATATACATTTATTTTGTTGTGTTTAATTTTTACATTTTTGAAATAAAACAGTTGTCATTACAATAAGTTGTCGATAAACTAACTCTGCGAAAAGAGACTTGTATTGATTAGTTCGAGGAACCTAACAAAGGCGGAGTTTTACTGGATAGTCGATGTGCAAGAAACTCTAACAAGAAATCGTTTTCTCAGAACATCCTAATAATTCTCGCCAGATCTAGAGAGTATATTGTCTAAGAAAAATAATGACATAAAGAAACTTATACGCGGTTATTAAAATTGTTATTTGAATAGCTTAAACATTTCTATACGGTAAGTTTTGACCGAAGGTTTTAACAGTATTTTCTCTCTCTCTCTCTTTTAAAGCAATATTTTATGTTTCGTGACAAATTTCAACTTGGCAAGATGACTTCTAGCTGCCGCTATTCGTTTGGAGAAGTCACCTACTATTCTTCTTCTGAAGATGACTTAAGAAGGTCGAAACGTTGTTCTTTATTTTGATTAAAGTTTCTAATACCCATACCAGCCGTCTTTGCTATACATACATACAAATTTCATTATTCTGTCTAGTATACCGATAAATAAAGAAAATGTCCCCAACGCACAAGCTATATACAGTTGTTCTAATTAGATCTGACTAAAGCCCTGTGTTGTTAGCGCCATCTCACGGATTATATCCTGTGTTTTAGCGGCAGGTGAGTAGGTCTTCCCATTCAGCCACTGGAGCGTGTGTGTTTGAGGTCGAGTAAACGCCGGATTTATTAGAGCTGTATATAGACAGTGAAACGTTTCAGCCTTCTGTTTTCAGTTAAATAGCTCAATGGCTAGCAACTGTCATGAAGTTTTCATTTATATTGTCAAATTTTTGAGTGAGTTTGACGAAAAAGATCTCAAGTTTAACGCCTGTAGCTGGTTCAAAGTTTGGTGTGTGTTACCAAGTTCTTTTTGTGATTAGACATGCTATAAGTGAAGGCAATCGAACTAAATAATGGATCTGATAGGACGAAATCTAGGACTACAGTGGAGTCTGTGGGCGCTTTGTGTAAATTTTAACTAAATACTTATTTAATATACACTGCGGAAGTTTACGTTAATTGTATCATAGAGCTTTTGTACAATATTAGAGTTTTTAATTTATTTTTTATTCGAAGAGTGGAGGTGCAAAATATTGGAATTAAACATCGTGTACTGAATATCAAAAAATTTCCTGAACGTACAAAGTTACAGTACTTCAGCATATTCAAGATAATTATAGACTTGTTCCAGTTTGTGCCAGGAGCTTGCGTGAGAATAATTTATTGAGCTAAGGATTTTGTTTTTTGAATTTTTATTCTGTACAATACGAATGCTGTAAGAAGAAGAACAAAAAGAAGAAATCCAAATAGACGTTGATCCGTGGTTTTGAGTCAAGACATGTTATTCTTGACGCTGGTAGCTTTAGCTCTTGGTCTTAGGGTGGGTATTGCTATGAACTCCAAGCACGAGTTAAACAGAGTTACAACGACAGAAGCAACAGTAAAGCATCAGGTAAGCTTGTTTTGATAATTTAACTGAAAAAAAAGCGAAATATACCAGTTCATTTGTTATTGTTTTATTTCTTATACTCAAGCCTCACTTTTCATCTACCATTTTTTAAAGATTTATCAACATTTAATTGAAAACCTGAAGCGATTGAGAACGAGAAAACAAATAACTTATGGGTTATTAAACTTAAGGCTTAAAGCCTTAAGCAGTCAAAACAAAGCAAACGTAACTTGTTATAGCGATTTTAATACAACACTAAACCAAGTTTATAGGATTATATATGCATAAAAATTGTATAATACACGCAAATTGTATGATATCAGATATATTCCACGTAATTGACTTTTATTTCTAAAATTTCAACTTGTAAATTATCCCGTTAGATGTTTTTGTTCTATAATAAGAACGCATAAATCATTTTGGTACTTCTTTAAATTCAATTTTGAACTTATTTTAGTGTAATCTGACATTTATCTATGTTTTCTCTGTATAATTTGATTTACTTCAAGTGAATGTTTATACCTACATTTACGTTTTCTCGTAAAAGCTTATTTTGCATATTATCAAGACAAGGTGAATGACGTCAGTAAGTTGAAATACACATTTTTCATTAGCTATACGTTCAGAAGATGAAAACCGTAAATAATTGTGTCGCCTTTTTATATTATCAAGTGTTTCTGTATTGTGTTTGCTATGTAGCATGCACATACACAATTATATTTCTCTTTATGATAACAAAAATTAAAAAAAAATTAATAAAAAAGAATATATGTAACATGACACCAAAGTTTTTACGACGTCTACTTACATTAGCGTATGAAACATTACCTTATTGATTTTAGTGCTAGTTTTCTAGTTTTTACACAGGTGGACTCTAACAAAGCATCACGCGAGTGAAAAGTTGATTTTATTTTTTAATATTTCAGTCAAAGTTTTCTGTGGCATAATATTATCAGTTAGGTGTTAGCTATGATAAGAATATTATATAGTTTTTAAGTTCGCTTTTTAACAAGTTTTTACGTTTTACGAAGTTTGCTTTAGACACCCCCCCCCCCAAAAAAAAGTGAAAAATCTATCGGCTTTAAATTATTACTAGCAACAGAGCACCGATTCAGTGACATTTCTATAACAGTGCAATAATTTGCACTTACTATAATTAAAGGTAATTTATCAAATATTTGTCCAAACTTACCAACTGAACCAAGTCATTCTATAATATCTCTACTGTCTCAGTACACCTATAAATATACAAGGGTTTGATGTCATCAGCAAACCCTAGTAATATATATAATTATGTTTCTATCAATATCATTAATGTACTTAAGAAAGAATAGAGGCCTAAGTACTTACTCCTAAGGTGTTCTACCGGTAAATAGCGTCCATTTTGACTAGACTCCATTAATAATAACAAAGAACAAAGGCCTAAGCATTTACTCCTAAGGTGTTCTACCGGTAAATAGCGTCCATTTTGACTAGACTCCATTAATAATAACAAAGAACAAAGGCCTAAGCATTTACTCCTAAGGTGTTCTACCGGTAAATAGCGTCCATTTTGACTAGACTCCATTAATAATAACAAAAAACAAAGGCCTAAGCATTTACTCCTAAGGTGTTCTACCGGTAAATAG